TAAAAGACCTCCATTAGACCACTCCCCAACCTTATTTTTTTCTCAGGAGGAAAGACACCAGTCTGTCAATCCTTTCCAGATATATATACACACATATTTTTCGCATCAGCCTTTATAAACCTTTTCCGATGCCTTTACATCCATTTTAAAAAGTGGTGACCAGAACTGCACATGTTACTCTAAAGTGTGATCCAATGAAGGTTTAATAAGATCTACACTCAAACCTCAGGGATTATCAGAATAACTATTTATCAATGCCCCTTGACAGGCTGCTCCATGCTTGCAGCCCCAGCTGTGGAAAAGATAATGTTCCACCTTAACTCATTCTCTCTTGCACATTATTTTGCAGGCATTTACACAGTTATCATGAGACAATATTAATACCAGACAACATGTGAGAATAAAGGAAACAACACTATTTATTCACACATGCGATCACATAAAGTGTGATCCCCTTTGCCATCCTCATGTAGCCATGTGCTCTTTCTCATGTGTTTATAAATGCTAGAAATCTCTGTTCGGGATGTCTTAGTTTTGAGGTGATCTTCCCCAGTGATGGTTTCTGGAGATCCTCCTGCTATTCCTGGCATATCTGAGTAGAATCTGCAGAGATACAATGCGGAACCATTGAGCTGCCCTTTGGCTGGTTGGAGCCATTTGATAGTTACTTCCTTACTGCTCCATACCATTGACAGATCAGAAAAAAATATGAAGGTCTGGAGAAGTAGCCTGAAGATCTGCTCAGTGAGGCCTATAAAAGTAGAGCAAATTAAGGTTTGAACTGATTCTGCTGGCTTATAGTCAGTGCAGACAGGTCTGGATGGCACCTGAACCTCTGACCTCATGAATTCGTGCTGGTTTCTGCCCCCAAATTGTGATTGGGAGCCTTTCGCATCTTCGCCAAGTTAACTAGCCAGCACTGTGTAATCAGGTAAGATCACTGTTCACTGCTGACTGCGAGAGTTCCCAACCTCTGAATGGTCAACAGATGGAATTTCCTCATCTGGTTCCTAATACCAGTAGAAAACCTACAGGTAACCAATTTATCTCTGACTGTGGGAAGATCTGTATGGCTTTCTTGTCTTCATTGGCTCTGGATATCTCTCTTCCAAACTCTCTCGCTTTATGATTTGGCTCAGAAGTGGGAACATCTGCTCCATGTGCTCTTGCAATAGAGATTATAAACCCAGAATAATACATCTAGTTCTCAGGAGAGCAGTGCTTGAATGGTTTGCACTTCTTTAGGGAAGCTTTAAATTACGCAACAAAACTGGAAATGAATACTGTTTATAGCTGAGCAGAACCTGTTTCTGTTCAGTTCACTGCTATCCTGAACTTCTTTTCCTCCAGCTCCTTCCAGGTTGCCACCTGAATTTGCAATCTGTGCTCCCATTAAACAGGTAAATGTCTGTATTTATTGAAGAAAATCCTTTTACTTTGGACATCTGTAAGAAGCAGGTTAATGCTATAGGATTCACACAGATTGTATGTTTCTATGAAAGTCAAAATGTCATTGATAACATCAATGCAGCCTTGCAGGCTCCTATCCTATGACACCACTGCCTTGATAGATTTTCTTAATTAACATCCAAGGTCTGTGATCACCAGAAGCACATGATCAGATTTGGGGGACAGGATGTTTGGTCCCTTACAATCATGGCTTGCATACAATGCTTACTGCTGGTTGGTGTGCTAATTGATGCCTTCCTTCCCACTTGGGCCACTTTGGATTCTTGGAGGTGACTGGAGTGGGGAAAACTGCCTGGAGGAGGACATTCAGCACCAGGCCTTCCCTGCTTGCCTGGCTTCAGCCAGAGATGCAGGCTGCCTTGCGGAATCTATTTTTAGTTTATCAATTGGAAATGGGGAAGTTGCACATTCTCACCTGAAAAGGCAATCTGCTGTTATGATGATGTTGTATTGCAAAAGTTTATTATCCTCCACATTTTGCCCCTGATAAAAGAAAGGCTGACTTATTGGGAGCCATTACTATCCTCTCCACACTTGCATCATAACTTCTCCAAGGACTCTATACTTGGCACAAAGACTCATATGCAAATATGATAAGGCCAAATATGATAGCTTGACATTAAGACTTCATTATTTCTGACTCTCTGGCCATTGCCATTCCTCTAGGGCCCTACCACTGCGTGGCTGGGTACCTCTCTGTGTTAGGTAATGGATTTCTGATTGGGCTCAAACAGTGTGATGCTTGGCAATTTAGAACAGAACCTGTTGGAGTGCATGTCATGAACTCTGCAAATTAGTTCACTGCGAATGCAACTAAAGAGGCTTCAGTAGTAACTTGCAAACTATTTTTGTAGGGCCAGCAGCATTATAGAATGTCCCATAGTATCAATATGGATTTCTGCCATCCTGGGCACTGGTTTGATTTGTCTTCACTGATACAACCCTTAGTTGATCAGTCCATAATAAGACTATAAAACCATAAGGTATATGAGCAGAATTAGGCTATTCAGCCCATTGAGTCTGCTCCGCCATTCGATCATGGCTGATATATTTCTCACCTCATTCTCCTGCCTTCTCCCCATAACCTTTGATTCCCTCACTAATCAAGAACCTATCGATCTCTGTCATAAATACACTCAAAAATCTGGCTTTCTGTGGCAATGAATTCCAAAGATTCACCACTCATTGGCTGAAGAAGTTCCTCCTCAACTCATTTCTAAAGGGTCATACCTTCACTCTTAGGCTATGCCCTTGGGTCCATGTCTATCCCACTAGTGGAAACATCATCTACATATCCACAGTATCCAGGACTTTCTGCATCTGTAAGTTTCAATGAGATCCTCCCTCATCCTTCAAAACTCCATCAAGTACAGATTCAAAGTCCTCAACTGCTTCTCACATACAATCATTCCCAAGATCATTCTTGTAAACATCCTCTGGGCCCCTCCAAGGCCAAGACATCCTTCTTTAGATATGGGACCCAAAACTGCTCACAACATTCCATAAGCGGTCTGGCCAGAATCTTATACACCTTTAGCAATACATCCCTATTCTAGTGCTGTCAAAGTTAATGCTAACATTGCATTTGCCTTCCTAATTGCCAACTGAACCTGCATGTTAACCTTATGAGAATCCTGACCTATGACACCTCAGTCCATTTGGGCTTCAGATTTCCAAAGCCTGTCTCCATTTAGAAAATAGTCTACACCTCTATTCTTCCAATTAAAGTACACAACCTTCCACCTTCCACATTGTATTCCATCTGCCACTTCTTTGCTCACTCTCCTAGCCTGTCCAAGTCCTCCTGCAGCCACCCGACTTCCTCCACACCCTGTCCTTTCATCTATTTTTGTGTCATCTGCAAACTTAGCAACAATGTCCTCAGTTCCTTCATCCAGATTGTTATGCGTTAGGCTGCCATGAGGTTTGGCACTTGGGTAACGGCAGCATAGTGTCTCAGTGGTTAGCACTGCTGCCTCACAGGACCAGGGACCTAGGTTCAATTCCACCCTCTGGTGTCTGTCTGTGTGGAGTTTGCATGTTTTTCCTGTGTCTGTGTGGGTTTTCTCCAGGTGCTCTGGTTTCCTTCCACAGTCCAAAGATGTGCAGGTTAGGTGGATTGGCCATGCTAAATTGCCCATAGTGTCCAGGGATGTGCAGGCTACGTGGATTAGCCATGGGAAATGCAGAGTTACAGGGATAGGGTGGGATGGGGGTAGTGGATCTGGGTGGTGTTATATTGTTCAAAGGGTCGATGTGGATTTGATGGGCCGAATGTAGGGATTCTACGATTATAAGGTCCTGTACTGCTGCAAAACTACTTCCTACTATTTCCACTCATGACGTGCAGTATCAAGGTCACTGACTAACAAGTGACTATAGTCTGACTCTCAGAAGTTTCAGCAAACTGTGTTTGCACTGTATTACTCATAATACTAATTTCTGTAATACAGTACAGTTTATTCTTTTCTCTCTTTGCAGAGTCTTGATAACATGTGACTGTTGATTTCAGTATTTTATCATTATCTCATTAACATATGCATTCTCATTATGACAGGCATCTCTTGCTACACAATAACGGCAAAATTTCTCACACAGCATGGCCTCTTCCCCTCCCCAGCTCTCTCTCCCATGCTAGCACACCCATTCTGTTTTCCTTACTGCCAGGGCCCCATAGCCTCTGAGTGCTCCATATTGTACCAGCTTAATTCTCTCAAATTGAATCAGGGTGCCATGTGAGATGGGCCACTCATCATTTCTATATAAGTGAGAGCTAAGTGTCAAAATGACTACAGCATTTTTCTGTCAGAACAGGCGTTGGCCTTCTGGAAGCGAAGCCTCTGTCTGCCCAGACTTGAGGGGTAGAATGTTTAGTCCTTGATGATCTTGGAGGCATGCATATATCACAGGCATTGGCATCTTCCTTCCCTCTTGGGCCACTTGGAGGTGCCTGGTATGGGCAGACTGCCTGGAGGAGGGCTTCCAGCATCAGGCCTTCCCTGTTTGCCTGGTTTCAGCTAGAAATGCTGCCTGGTTTGTGGGGGAATTCACACACTGGCCTGATGTAGAATCTATTTTATTTTATAAACTGGAGAATGGGCAGCTCCACATTCTCACCTGAGAAGGCAATCTGCTGTTTCTTCTGGGGTGGAAAGCCTCCTATTGATCCTGCAGCCTCAACAGCCTATCCTCCATCTTTGATTGGATAGAAAGCCCGTCCCCTAGCCATTAATTGGCCATTTCAGGGAAAGCCCCAGCACAGTAACTAATCCCTAGACAGTGCAGGGTTGTGACTTCCATTTGACAATGAATATTAGCTTCCAGACTCTCAAAGCACCTAGTTGACTCTAATATCATGTCCACGAGAGAGCGAATTACTTTGGTTGTTGTTTTAAATCTCTTCTCTCTCTAAGATATTTGTTTATTTTAAACTTATTAGAACATCTGTAAATTTTCAAGTTTAAAAATCAGGTGTAATCATTGAAACTGTGTTTTTATTTATTTATAACAACTATTTTGCCTTTTTGTAGGTATCAGTGGGTTTGAACATTTCCAATCTCAGTGAGGTACAGGACAAAGAGACATCAATTACTGACAGTTCAACGCAAGCATCAACTTTATCTCGGACAGTCTCTGCAACCCGATCTGATAAGGTGAACATGTAGTGGATCAGGTTATCCATTGAAGTATCAAACGGCGAGTCTTAAGTTTACACTGAACTGAGTATTAAATATCCTAAAGGTTACTGCTGTACCGATTCGGGTGTATCGTATTATTCTCCTCTGCACATCACTTCAAAGGATCTGTTTCAATTATTTTAGAAATGTAAAATGAGCTAAAATAGGAACTTGAATATAGCTTTTAGTTAGCCAACAAATAATTAAAACTCAGCTATCAAGGTAAGCATAAAATGCTCGAAATACAAGACAGGCTGTTTTATGCTTGCTTTGACAAAAACAAGCTATGACATGCCTGATACATTTTGTACCATTTTTCAGAAATGAAGATTAAAAGAGATATTTTTGTGAGGTTGAAAAATTGAGAGGAAAAGTGGGGAGACGAATGGAAGGTGGAGGAGAATGTCATGGATTCAGTAATGCACTTGAGCTTTTTCTTTTCTTTTTATTCATCAAAAATTTCTAATGCTTCTATCTTATTCCCAATTGGTTACTTTCACCTCTGATTATTTGCATATTTTTAATGTGGTTTTTATATCTCTGTGTCAGGTCAATGGCAGTGATAAATTTTAACACTGAATGGTAGTGTACAACAGGGATCCAAAGTCAACTTTTCCAACCTCACTGCAGAACATTGCCAATGGTTATTTTTAATCACTCAAGGGATGTGAGTGTCTCTGGCTAGGCCTTAATTTATTGCCCATCCCTAATTGCCCAGAGGGCAGTTAAGAGCCAACCACATTGCTGTGGGTCTGGAGTCACATGTAGGCCAGACCAGGTAAGGATAGCAGTTTCCTTTCCTAAAAGATATTAATGAACCAGATAGGACTTTTTCCTGACAATTAACAATGGCTTCTTGGTTATCCTTAATTCCAACTCCTTTATTGACTTAAAATTCCACCATCTGCCATGGCGGGATTTGAAGCTGGGTCCCCAGGACATCAGCTGAGTTTCTGGATTAATTGTCTAACGATAATACCACTAAGCCCTTGCCTCCCCAGAAAGTTTAAGAAAGGGTTGATTAAAATATCACAAAGTTTGTTGGATTCCTTATGTCCTGGGCTTCTTTGATTACTATGAAGGCCTGTTAAGAACCCAAGAACTACTCAACAGATGGCAAAGCAGCCTTCAATGACAGAACAGCTGGAAGAAGATGTGCCTTTTGGAGTATCTCAATGGCTGTCCTGACAGATGGAGGCTGCAGCAGAACCAAACACCCCAATTGCTTAGGTTTCCTTGCCATCAATCAGGGATTCGTTCTGTCAAGATACAGGCAGAAGCTGGCATGCAATGGTTTCTCACTGCTGAAAGATGTCCATCGCTGGCATTTTTAAACTGATCCTCCAAGTCCTTTGGTGACTAGCAAGTGGAGGCGGGAGAAGGATGTTGCCTGAAAGCTTCTAGTAGTACCGTAACACAGAAGCAGCAATTATAAAATGGTCACCTAACATTTGGACAGAACAGCTGTACCGTTCATCAGCCGTAACTGTGACTGAGTAGCCTTCCTTAGGATCCCCTCTGCTCATCTCTATTTTGGGGAGGCGACCAGAATAGGTGTCTGAAATATAATATGCTTCACCACTCTTGACTGGATAGTCGTGTCCAGAGGGATCACTTTACGATCGTAACAAATAGGAATAGGAGTAGGCCATTTGGCCCCTCAATCCTGCTCTGCCATTCAATAGGATCATGGTTGACCCAACATTCCTTGTTCGTTTTCCTGCATCTTCACCTAGCCTTTGATTCCCCTACTGATCAAGAATCTATCTCAGCTTGAAAGATACACAAGGATTCTTCCCTCACAGCTCTCGGCAAAGAGTTCCAAAGAACTTTGAGCTCCACTGTGAGAGAACAAATTCCTCCTCATCTTAGTCATAAATTAGCACCCCTTTATTCTGAGACTATGCCATCTGGTCATAGACTCTCTCATGAGGGAAAACATACTCTCAGCATTTTTCAAGCCCTTAAGAATCCTATATGTTTCAACGAGATCACCTCTCTTTCTTCTAAACTCCAGTGAGTAGAGTTCAAATCTGTTTAGCCTTTGCTCATAAAACAATCCCGAAATACCAGCGATTATCCCAGTGAACCTTCTCCAAACTGATTCCAATGAAATGTTATCTTTCCCCAAATTAGGGAACCAAAGCTGTTCACAGTCCTCCACATGTAGTCTCACCAGCATCTTGTACAGTAGCAGTCAGACATTCCTACTCTTATATTCCAACCCTTTGCAATGAGACCAATATTCCATTCACTTTCCTAATTACCTGCTGCATCTGTGGTAGAAATGCCCAATTGGAACAAGTAGCAAAGTTTTGGACCTCGACCATCAGGACACTTATGAACACACTTGCAAATGAACACACAGAACATCACACTACATTTGTTTCAAGGAAATCTGGCAATGTGTCACCATTATCACTGCACTGACAGTCGAGAAGAGCAACTCAAGGAACACCAAGGTTTGTGTTCTTCCTTTTGGGAGGAAAAATCCAAAGAACTCAGAGCTCACAGTGTTGGATCTGCTTTCAAGAATGAACTTGTCAAACAGCTTCATGAATTCCCTGTTGGAAACAATGAGCACCTCATGACCCTTCTCAAACTGACATGAAACAAATATGCTATTATGTTCAGTGCATGTACTCCAATCCTAGACATCAATAACAAAACTAAAGGCTTTTTGCCAAAGTTGGACCTTTGAGTTTCTTAGGGAAGATGAGGTTTATTGAATATGTCAATTCCACAGCAGGAAGAGATTCTAGTCTCTGACATGGAACTATTGGCAAGAAAAGAAATAATGCTAGTGTATTCTTCTGCTATCAAATGCACAGAACACCAGCTCATCGTCATCAATACCTTTCAGAGTTCTGTTAGAAGAACAGGTGCAAAATGTCACGGCAACACCTATGGTCCAAATACTGACACCTGATTGATTATGTCATCATCAGAACCCATATTTGCAAAGATATATGCATTACCACAGCAACATTCTTTATAAACCTTCTCCAATGCCTTAACACCCATTTTAAGAAGTGGTGACCAGAACTGCACACGTTAATCTAAAGTGTGATCCAATGAAGGTTTGATAAGATCCATACTCAAACCTCAGGGATTCTCAGAATAACTATTTATCAATGCCCCTTGACAGGCTGCACCATGCTTGCAGTTCCACCTTAACACATACTCTCTTGCAAATTATTTTGCGGGCATTTACACTGTTACCCATGAGACAGCATTAACACCATACAACATATGTAAAGGAAACAACACTTTATTCACACATGCGATCATACAAAATGTGATCCCCTTTGCCATCCTCATGTAGCCACATGGTCTTTCTCATGTGTTTATAAATGCTAGAAATCTCTGTTCAGGATGTCAGAAACTGATAAGAATGGAAAACCAACCTACAGAAAAGTAATAAGAATGGAAAATCTTGTCACTTTGGGTAGCTGCGTTTTTGGTTTTGCCATCCAATTACACAGCATTATTAATTTAAGATCAGCAAGCCAGTTACCTGCCTCCTAGTACCTTTACTTCTCAGTACCTGTGGAAAATAGAAAAACCAAAAAGTGGAGGATACATTTAAAATATTTTCCTTTAAAGTCTGTTAAATGTGTAATGGTTTGGAATTTTTGAAAAATATGTATTATGTTTGTCTTATTTATATTTTAAATTTCTATATTAAAGTTTACATTATTTATTTTGTTCTATTTGTAAAAGAATTTATCAGTTCATGGGTCAGTGCAAGGGCCTATGTCAGGATCAGCATCTCATCTGCTTGCCACCACAAGGATGCCAAACCATGACAGTGGAGTAGTAATTCAGCAAGCCATGCCTTCGCCAACATCCAGTTCAGTCATCACACAGGCACCTTCTACCAATAGGCAAATAGGGTAAGTGATTAGTTCAGTTATTGCTATCTAATCTACCACTTTCATTCATAAATAAATAACACTGATATTATGGGAAATAAATTCAATGTCCCTCCCTCAATGACTATTTGGCATTACCTGTATACAAATAAAAGCCAAAACAGGCAATCTTCTTCTGACTTTGAGTGTTACAGTATTGCCAGCAGAGTACTTTGTGCTGTTATTTCTTGTGGAGGTTTTGGGGCTTAATTGACACAAAGTTGTGCTCTTCATAGAATTTACAAAGGGTAACGATCAGTGATAGTTCAAATATAAAATTTGACTTCTAATAAAAATGGCATGGGTACCTGTAGGGCTAAGTTTTTGCTGGGAGACTGAACTAAGTTGATTCGAAATTGTTAAAACGTACACTCATGACCCATTGAACTGTCAGCGAGGCACATGTATTACTGGGAAACAACTTTCAGAATCTTAGAAGTGAATCCATCATTTTACATTAAATGTGTTCAGCTTGGATCATACCTGATGCATTGGGAGCAATTAGATGGGCAGAGTACAGAGCAATTGTGCCACCGGGCTAATTGTTCTAGTGACTGGAGAATTATTCACTGGAACTGAGCTAGAAGGAATATGTAAAAGGGGAGGGCAAGCACGCAGTGGTGAGGGGGAGAATGGTAATTGAGCAGCAAATAGTGGACACGAAGATGTTTTGGGTTAAAACAAAGGTTTCTATTTCTTGTCCCCAAAAATGTAATTAAACTCTTCACCCACCAATACTTGAAAATTTTAGTTGGTCTTACAGTAGAAGAGGACACCAATTTAATAATTTTAATAGAACTTGTTTACGCCCCCTCAGCCCCGATTTTATGGGACACTAACCCTAAAACCTGAATTGTAATATCCACTATGGGTTTTGCACAGTTCAATTTACATTTAATCAAGTCTAATAAGGAGTATAAGGATTAAAAATTCAATGTCTTTTTCCTTCACCTCTTAAAAGACCATTTTTGCTCTTGTTACCCTGGTATTATCCCTTCCATGTACTGGTTTTTAAAAATTGTCTCCAGAATTATATAAACTTATTATGAGGTTTCCATGACTACCTTTGATAGATGTACCTTAATTAGATTATTGGCAGAAGTCATTCATTATGGAGCTTGCGAGGGCAGATTGATATATGTGAGCAGACAGTATTGGGCAGGAGCAGAAACTTCCCTTTCCCAATGGCACGTTAGGGTGTAGAGATGAAGTCAGTGGCATATTTGTGTCATGTTGGGCCTCGTGCCATCCTGTGGTGAGTTCACACTTGTATTATGTTTGCATGTCCTGAGCATGCATTAGTGAAGATGTTTTTCACTTGTGTCCCATCTTCAAGCTAAAGTCAGCGACACATAAGAATCTCATGCTATCAAGATCACATTCCAGAGTTCTGGAAATCCCTCCCTAACAGCACTATAGCTGTATTTACAACACACGGAACATAACAGTTCAAAAAGGCACTAACCACCACCTTCTGAAGGGTAATTAAGGATGGGCCATAAATGCTGCCCAGCCAGCAGCACCACATCCCATGCGAGAATAAAAGAAACACATATTTAATTGAACCTAGCACAAAGCAACTTTAAGATACTTAGAGATAGTAAAAACTGCTGATGCTGGAGTCAAGATAACGCAGTGTGGAGCTGGAGGAACACAGCAGGCCAGGCAGCATCAGAGGACCAGGAAAGTTGACCCGAAATGTCAACTTTAAAATACTTAACTGCATTAAAACAAAGTCAAAGGATTTTGTTATTAATATGCATTAACATGTTATTTAAAAATGAAATTAATGAAAAGTAACTATTCCTATACAAGAGAAATAGCATTTTTATTTGTTCATTGAATGTGCGTGTCACTGGCTGGACAGAATTCGTTGCCATCCCATTTGCACAGAAAGGAATTAACAATCAAACACATCACTATAGGTCGAGAGTCATATAGCCAGACTGGTAAGGTTGACAGATTTCTTTCTCTAAAGGACACGAATGAATCAGATGGGTATTTACAATAATCGATACATGGTTACACGGTCACTATGGTTTAGCCCTTTTTATTGAATTCCAGTTTCACCATTTACTAAGGTGGGATTCCAACTGCTGTCCCCAAAACCTAAGCCCAGATTTTCAATTGCTAGTCTTGCAACATTAACATTAGACAATCACTCCCTCAATGAGTGGATTAGCTTATTTTCAGTATAAATCAGATATATTTTCATAAACAATTTATGCAAAAGGAATAACTCATCATTAATGTAGAAATATTCCCAAAATATGTTAGAAGAAAAAGTGCAAAAAAAATATAAAAATCAGTCTATTTTTAAAATTTCTTCTAATCGTTGAAATCTCCTTTTTTTTTCTATTTCTTAGATTTTATGCTTGCACTATAAATGCACCTACATTCAAATTTTTCAGTTTTGCAGTGTGCAAGTGCTTAAAAGGCTCGTACCAAATTCCTTTTCCAATATGTTAAGAGGCAAGGTAAGATATTTAGGATAGTTTAATATTTAGATAATAATAGTAGGGAGAAAAAGTCACTGCTTAAAGCTTGTAGGCAAGAATTTATAGAAGGCAGGGCTACACTTCCAGCCACTTAGAGACGGCAGGGAACATATCCCCACCAATCACAGCAGTCTCACAGCCATTTAACATTCTGAGGAGCATTAAGTGGTAGGAAACTGGACTTCCACTCCTCATGAGGGTGGATATCCTGCTTCAGAGTCAACCCCTGGTTGGCATCTGTAGCAGTAATAGCTAAAACTGGGACTGTAAGCAGTCCCCAGATTTTTATGCCCCACAATCTGGGAACTGTTATGAGCCAGAGGACACACAACAGGAAGGAGAGATGAGGCACAGCCTGAAGGAGTGGAGAGAGATGAATGGGTATTTTGATGGTTATTGTAGGATAGAGGGACTAACCACAAAGCTCAGATCTCGGTTCAGTGACTGATGTGGAAAGGGAAAGTCCTTCCACTAGCTTCATAACTGAAGCCGAGGCCATCGAGTCTAACCCACCATTCAATTACCAGTTCTGAGGAAGGGTCACCGGACCCGAAACGTTAACTCTGATTTATCTTCACAGATGCTGCCAGACTTGCTGAGCCTTTCCAGAAACTTCTGTTTTTGATTCAATTACCATGGTTGATCTGATAATCCTCAACTCTACTTACCTGTCTTAACCTATAACCCCTGAACTCCTCTGCTCCATTGGTTGAAAAGTTGTCTATCTCAGCCTTGAATACACCTAATGACCAACCTTGACAAACTTCTGCAGTAAAGAGTTCCATGGATCCCCTGAGAGATGAAATTCCTCCTCATTTGTCTTAAATAGTCAATCACTTACTTCGAGATTGTGCCTTTTGGTCCTAGACTCTCCCACAAAGGAAACAACCCCCCAATATCTACTCTGTCATGTCCGTAAAGAATCTTGTATGTTTCAATGAAGTATCGTCATATTTTTTCCACACTCCAATAATACAAGCTCAACCTCAACCTCTCTTCATAAGATAATCCCTCCATACTAGAATCAACCTAATGAACTGCTAAGAAATGCCTTCAATTTGAAAATATCATTCCTCAGATAAGGGGGAAAAAGTTGTTCTCAGTATCCCAGCTATGGTCTGACTAGTGCTAGGGCTGTATACAACTTTAGCAAGATCTTGCTATGTTTATTCTCAATTCCCATTGAAGTAAATGCCCTCTTACCCGCTGAAGCTGGATGCTAGAATTCGTGATTCTTGGAAGAGGACTCCAAATTCCCTCTGTGCTGTGGCTTTCTGTAATATTTCTCCATTTAAGTAATATTCATCTCTTCAATTCTTTCTGTGACGTGTACATTTACCCACATTATATTCAATCTGCCCAAGTTTTTTTCCTGAAAGAACTGCGGATGCTCAAATTCAGGAAATAAACAGAAGGTCCTCTGTTCTGAGGAAGGGTCACCAAACCTGAAACGTTAACTCTGATTTTTTTTTTCACAGATGCTACCAGACCTGCTGAGCTTTTCCAGCAACTTCTGTTTTTGTTCAAGTCTTTTCCCACTGAATTAACTTGTCTATATCCTTCTGTAAACTCTGTGTCATCCTCACTGCCTGCCTTCCCACCTATTTTTGTGTCATCTGCAACTTGATGATTCACTTCCCCCTGCCAAGTCATTGATACTTAATGTCAATAATTGTGGCTCCAGCATTGATCCCTGTACCACTCCATTAGTTACAGGTTGCCATCCTGAAAATGCTTCCTTTACCACAACTCTTGTACATTATTCATCCTTTATTCAGTCCCCTATCCATGTTAATATACTACCCAATACCATGGGCTCTTATTTTATTGAGTAGGCTTATGGGTGGTGCCTTATCAAATACCTTTTGGAAATCCAAATGTATTACATCTATGGATTTCTCTCTTCTCTTTCCTGCTTGTTCCTTCTCAAAGAATTCAAAAACGTTTTATATTTGTCATAATATCCCCTTCACGAAGCAATGCAGATTCTGCTTGCCTATATTATGTATTTCTAAATGCTATGCTATTACATTCTTCATAATTGACTCATTAAATTTTCCCAGTGACAGGCATTAAGATAACTGGCCTATAGTTACCTGTTTTAAAGTCTCCTTTCCTTTTTGAATAAGGTTGTTACATTGGCAGTTTTCCAATCCTCTGGGACTTTTCCAGAATTGAAGGATTGTTGGAAGATTACTACCAGAGTGTCTACTATTTCTGTAGCTATTTCTTTTGTGTTCTCGGATGCAACCCTCAGGTCCAAGGGACTTATTGGCTTTAGCCCCATTAGTTTCCCTAGCATTTTTCTCTAGTGACAGTTATTGTGTTTATTTATTCCTTTCCCTCTTCTTGGGTCCATTGACTAGGTCATGTTTTTGGAATGATGTTAGTGTCTTCAATGATGCAAAGTATTTATTTAACTCATCTGCCATTTCCTGGTTCCCCATTGTTATTTTCCCAGCCTCAATTCTAATGGACCTCTGT